ATAATGGGAAAAAAGGTGAGGAGTGTATTGAAGTATCTGCAGAAAGAAGTTTACCTACAGGAAAAAAAAAACAATGTACCAGGGTATAATAGTACCAACACTCACATGGGTTTTGAATGATTCAAAAAGAAGGTTAGAGGAAACAAATAAATAATTACCAAAGCATATATCAATTGCACAAAATTTCAGGTACATCTTGCTACTTCTGCTTACACAGGTCACACTACATTTGCATGTACAAGCATATATATACACACACACCCCTCTGAGTTTTCTTCTATTTTCTTACTATTTCTTGTTCTTGTTTATTTCCTCTTATCTCCATGGGGAAGCAGAACAGAATTCTTCCTCTGTAAGCCATGCATGTCACGAGAGACGACTAAAATACTGGGAACAAGGGGCTAGTAACCCCTTCTGTATACATTACTAATTATAAAAAGAGAAACTTTCGTTTTTCTTTTTAGGTCACCCTGCCTCAGCAGGATATGGCCAGTTTGAAGGAAAGAAAAAATCAGTTACATACATGCATTACAATGGGGTGTGGCACTACAAGACTGTCATTTGTCTTTACCATGGGCTGCTATTTTGATATACTGTAATGTACCATCAGACTGGGCTCCAGGGGCAATGAGATCCAAAATCATTAACATATATTAATAGACATTAGGAAGTAGGTTGGTAGACAGCAACCAATCAGGAAGGTACTACCGTCCTGCCAAGTGAGTGTATAACGGAAGCCTGCAACTGTTTTACATGATGGTAAGATTGCTGGTGTCTTTTTTTTGTCTCTTAACCATGCAGGATTTCAGGTACGTCTTGCTACTTCTACTTACTTAGATTATACATATGCATGTACAAGCATATATATACACACACACACACACACCCTTGTGGGTTTTCTTCTATTTTCTTGCTAGTGCTTGCTCTTGTTAATTTCCTCTTATCCCGTAAGCCATGCGTGTTGTAAGAGGCGAATAAAATGCTGAAAGCGAGGAGCTAATAACCCCTTGTCCTGTATGAATTACTAAATTTAAAAATAAAGACTTTTGTTTTTTCTTTTTTGGGTCACCTTGCTTTAGTGGGATATGACTGGTTAAAAAAAAAATAGCAGAAAGATATTAAGATACTACATATATATTTTTTTATCAACACATTGGCCGTTTCCTACCAAGGCAGGGCGACCTGAAAAAGAAGAAGCACTTTCATCATCGTTCATTCCATCACCGTCTTGCCAGAGGTGTGTCTACACTACAGTTAAAAATCTGCACATATCAACACCCCTCCTTTAAAGTGCAGGCACTGTACTTTCCACCTCCAGGACTCATTTTCGACTAACTGGTTTCCCTGAATCCCTTCATAAATGTTACTTTGCTCACCTTACACTAAAGTGGGCTGCCTCTCCATTGAGTTTTTCCATACAAATAACTTTAGTAGCAGTGTCAGGATCCTCTAAACAATACTGTTTCCAAATGTCATTATTTTCTGGTTGAACTTCATCTTCATCTCCAACCCCACCCACAAATTTTTTATTGGCATAGATAACAACATCTTTAGTATTATTAAACTCCATAATTGTTGCACCACGAGGAATCTGTGAAAGACAAATTACTCAAGTTAGCTTCTGCCACTGAATATATCATAAAAAAAAATTCTTAAAGAACTCCTTTTTCTTTCCTCTACAAATTTACTACATTGAAATTAATTCTAATACTTTTTAATAAACTGGATCAAATATACAGTACCCATATGGTATGTCCAGTATGTGAATATAATTACATACAATATTTTCTTGTTTACTTATATTTCTTTATATACAGGCAGTACCATTTGACAAGTACTCACTTCAGAATCTACCTAAAAGGGTAAGAAACATTAGGTAAAACATAGGTAAAGCATAAATAACAAAAAAAGGCACAATACCGTGACTGGAACGATACACAAATAACCCGCACATAAAAGAGAGAAGCTTACTTACTTATGTGCGGGTTATTTGTGTATAGGTAAAGCATAAGTGTGATCTGATTTAGCATGTGTTTAAGATATATCACTTGTTGAGCAATGGGTTGTATGCAACTCTCTCACTAGTCTTGCCAGTTTAGATTCTTTTCTTTTTCTCTGGCATATGTTTTGCAGTAAGCAGCAGACCAAATGAGTGGCCAGAAGAGAAATGGTGCTTAATTTTGTCCTTCCCCAATTAAAAATAACCTCAAAATGTCATCAAGAGAAGGAATAAAGTGGTGCAAATGCTAAGAAAAAGAGCATTACTTTAGAATCATAATTTATTGTTTTATTGCAGTCTGATGCCAATCAAATAATCAATCCTACTGCAATAGTTTGTCTTCCAACTGGCAGATAGATGCTCAAGCCTCTATCTCTCCTTGCACTGAATGACCCACATGGGATCAGTGTAGTGGAGGGGAGAAGTCAGGGTAGTCCTAGGAAATAATGGAAGGGGGGGGGGGCGGTAAAAGATGTTTTGTGTACAAGGGGTTTGGACATGCAGCAGGCATGCGTGAGCACATTAGATCTGTGTGAATAGATACTAATGGTTTTTGGGACCTGACTGGAGAGTGAGCAGGGTAATATTTTGTGACGGGATTCAGGGAAACCTGTTACCCAGACTTGAGTCCTGGAGGTGAGAAGTATAATGCCTGCACTTTAGAGTGGGGTTTGGGATATTGGCTGTTTCGGGTGACATCTAAACTGTCGTATTCGAGCGCTTTTTTGGTCGCCCTGCCTCGATGGGATACGGCTAGTTTGTTGAAAAAAAAAACTTTCATTAACCCTTTCACTGTTTACATCGTACATATACGTCTTACGCGCAACTGTTTCTGACGTATTAATACGCATAAATTCTAGCGGCTTCAAATCATGCGGGAGAAAGCTGGTAGGCCCACATGTGAGAGAATGGGTCTGTGTGGTCGGTGTGCACTACATAAAAAAAATCCTGTGGCACACAATGCGTAATGAGAAAAAAAAACTGACCGTTTTTTTGGATTAAAATGCCGACTTTGAGGTGTATTTTTGTATAGTATTTATCGTTGTATTCTCATTTTCATGGTCTCAGGTGATAAAATGGAAAACATATTACAGAAATAGAGATGATTGTGATTACTTTCACGATGAAAACGACCTTGAAATTGAGCTGAAAGTAGCGGAAATGTTCGATTTTTACCAATGTTCAGGAGTAAGCAAATCACACCACATGTCCAATACACGTCAACTGGAGAGTCTAATATCTTACCACTAGTGCACTGATATTATTTATACCATTTTTACAATAATGCAGTAGTCTGCATACCAGTAAATTTTGTATTTTTTTTGTATGAATAAAAAATCAAAATAGAAAGCAATAGTAATATAAGAGGGGCCTAGAGACATGACTAATGAACAGAGGATATGTTATTTTAGTGCCAAGAATGTCTACATTGTTTATTCTGGACCCTATTTTGAAACTGGCAGTGAAATTGGCCAAATTGCCAATTTCTGACCATTTTATTGGGTAGTTCAAATCAGTAAATGGGCGGTTTCTTGTACTCAACTGATAGATAAAATGGAGTTCTAAAGAAATAGCTATGGAACAACGGAATTGGCCAAAAACAGGGCTCCAAGTCGGCAAAATCGCTGATACGTGTATGTCGCCGAGACCGCTAACTTCACGGGAGCGTAATTCCGTGAGTTCTTGGCCAAATTTCGTACTTTTGGTGTCATTACCATTGGGAAAAGATTCTCTATCATTTCATAAGAAAGTTTTTTTTTTTTTTTAAATTTATCGACATAGAATAACAGTTTCAGAACTGGGCCTGCGACAGTCAAAGGGTTAAGCAGGGACTGCCTGTACGTACATACTTGTGTATGTGGGTTACTTATCTTGCTCCTGGAAAAGTCTATTTAATCTGTGCTTTACATCTTGTAATGCAAATCACAGTACAGCGGTGCCTTGACTTAGGAGTGCCCCAACTTACAAGTTTTCCGAGTTACAAGCCGTCGCTCGGTCGATTTTCTGCTTTGAGTTGCGAGCCAAAATCCGAGTTACGAGTGAGCTCCAGATATGCTGCCACTAGTTGGTGCAGTGAACGGCACAACATCCACCCAGCATCCCAACGTTTTGTGCTTTTTGTGAAGTTTTTTTTTTTTTCAACAAACCGGCTGTATCCCACCAAGGCAGGGTGGCCCAAAAAGAAAAAAAAAAGTTTCTCTTTTTAAATTTAGTAATTTATACAGGAGAAGGGGTTACTAGGCCCTTGCTCCTGGCATTTTAGTCGCCTCTTACAACACATATGGCTTACAGAGGAAGAATTCTGTTCCACTTCCCTATGGAGATAAAAGGAAATAAACAAGAACAAGAACTAGAAAGAAAATAGAATAAAACCCAAAGGGGTGTGAATATATATACTTGTACATGTATGTGTAGTGGGACCTAAGTGTAAGCAGAAGTAGCAAGATGTACCTGAAATCTTGCATGTTTATGAGACAGAAAAAAGACACCAGCAATCCTACCATCATGTAAAACAATTACAGGTTTCTGTTTTACACTCACTTGGCAGGATGGTAGTACCTCCCTGGGCAGTTGCTATCTACCAACCTACTACCTACTTGATATTAGCGTTATATTGAAGTATTTTCTCCTGCCTCCCGAGAGCCAGGCATTCCACTTGAACGGATTAATGGCAGTTCAGTTAATTTCAATGAGGAAAACTGATTTGATATACGCACAAATTGAGTTACAAGCTCGGTCACTGAATGAATTAAACTCGTAAGTCAAGGTACCACTGTATTTTATTAATGCATGACAAAATGCAATCTTTCCTGATAGACAAATCACTTAACCAACTTAGTTTATCATAATATTTATCATAGGTGTTCTATTACTAAAACAAAGTAACAAATTTCCAGCCTAAATTAAACTTATTAGAAATCATCCATCATTAATATCTATTACATAATTTCAATATAGTGCATATCAGTAGATAAACAGCTTATGGGAGAAAAAATCCTACCATTTTGCGAAGCTCTGCATGTTTATTGTACATTTCATCATCAGCACCATGGCCATTGACCTTGATGTCATGAAGGATGGCACTGGGTAGGATATTATGCGGTACTTCTGCACTTACTATTCGTACCTTCTTATTCTCTTTCATGTTGGATGAAACTTCATGAAATCTGCAAAGTTATTGTATTATTCAGGAGTGAATGAATTCTGTCAACCTTTAAAAAAACTAAATAACAAGACATTACTAACACATGGTGTAAAACTAACAAATCACTTTAAAACTTGTAAAAAAATTAATACATATAATAAATCAGTCAAGTCTTCTACCCAAGAATCTCTGGCAGGCTACTGAAAAACTCCTTAATTTTCAATTGATTATACTATATACTACATACATACTACTCGTACTTTTTGCTGACGATACTGTGCTTATGGGAGATTCTAGAGAAAAGTTGCAAAGGTTAGTGTACGAGTTTGGGAGGGTGTGTAAAGGTAGAAAGTTGAAAGTGAACATAGATAAGAGTAAGGTGATGAGGGTATCAAATGATTTAGATACAGAAAAATTGGATATCACACTGGAGAGAGGGAGTATGGAAGAAGTGAATGTCATTAGATATTTGAGAGTTGATGTGTCAGTTGATGGGTTTATGTAGGATGAGGTTAACCATAGAACTGATGAAGGAAAAAAGGTGAGTGGTGCATTGAGGTATATGTGAAGACAAAAAAATGTTATCTATGGAGGCAAAGAAGGGAATGTATGAAAGTACAGTAGTACCAACACTCTTATATGGGTGTGAAGCTTGGGATGTAAATGCTGCAGCGAGGAGGCGGTTGGAGGCAGTGAAGATGTCCTGTTTAAGGGCAATGTGTGGTGTAAACATTATGCAGAAAATTCGGAGTGTGGAAATTAGGAGAGGGTGTGGAGTTAATAAAGGGGTTGTTGAGGTGGTTTGGTCATTTAGAGAGAATGGATCAAAGTAGAATGACATGGAGAGCGTATAAATCTGAATAGAGAATTTTCTCCAACTAGGGCATATGAAAACCAAGGTTCCACTGTACTGGAATGCAAAACACATATAGGAGAGAGAGAGAGAGAGAGACCTGTTACGAGATGAATTTTTTCTTTAAACAGGGCTTTATTAAGTCTATCACATCACCATATTTAGGACAAAATATAATCTAATAAAGAAAAGTTTGGCTAGCTATGTGTATTCTACATTCCTAGGTTGTCAGCTACTCACTATTTACTACAGTAAGCAATTATAGTTAATTGCCAAATTCACAACTCTCAAAACCAGAATAGCTCCCATTACAACAATGCAATTGCTTGTGCATCAGTTATTTTAATATTGTACATATGATTAATTTGTTACGCATTTGGTAAATTCTTTTCCGGTTAGTAGTATTGTATATTATTACCCCACTCAGAATATCTTTTAATGTAAAATCTGAAATACAGTACTCTAAGCTGATTTACTGACTGAATGACTTATGTAAAAAGAAGAATCTTGTAAGGGTGAGCTTGGAAAATGGGACAGAGTTAAGAATTGATTTTGTTAGAAAGAGTCAATAAGAGGAGAAAGCCAGGATTTAACCCAGTTTCTGACCATCTAAGAACTCATGTATGTCAAGTTCATCATGTCATGGCTCGGTCTAGGCCAGTGTTTCTCAACCAGGATTCCACGAGGGGTCACTAGGGGTTCTGAGAGAAATAGTGATAAATAAGCTAATCATAAGTAAATGCTGTACATGACAGGTTGGTGTATCAAGTGACTCCCTCGAGTACAGGACACATGAATGGTCTCCATCAGTCCTGTCTGTGCTTCCTGGCGTGCAGGTACAGTCCCTCATTCCCCCATGTTACTTAGTAAATTTTGCCCATCATTTAGGGATACCTGGAGTATACCTGGAGAGGGTTTCAAGGGTCAACTCCCCTGCAGACTGGTCTGAGTTCTCAGGATGAGAACTTGACTTTTAAGAGAAGAGGAAGAATTTTGTGAACTGGACAAGTTCTGGATTTCTGTGAAAGAATAATATCCTGCCATTCACAGAAACAGCAATAAATATATTGCTGTAGTTTTCAACCTCCTACATGTGTGAGCAAGCATTTTCTTACTTAACAAGTATCAAGAGCAAAGACAGAAATTGTCTCCTTTCAGTTGAAGATGAAATCCGTGTGTGTTTACCTAAAGTTCGACCCCGAATTAAGCATTTTGTACCAAAAGATAACCATAGGCTTCATATTAGAGAAGCAAATTTCATTATCTAAACTTGGTTTCAAAAATAACATTTTCTTGACCCATATATTTAGTCCTATGATATTTTGCCTTGATTTATCGTATGCCTTTTCAACACTGTCAATAAACAATTAAGTCACTGTAGTAATCATGATTTCCTGAACAAACAGTTTAATTTCAGTTTTTTTTTTTGCGCTGTCAATAAAATTGAGAAAAACATTAAGTTATTTTTTACTTATAAGACTAGTTATCTGAAAAAATATATTTTCCTTATGTACTTTGTTTATAAAAGAGAAAGATATTAACCCTTTGACTGTTTTGGTCGTATATATACGTTTTACGAGCCACAGTTTATGACGTATATATATGTACTTATAAATTCTAGCGGCTTCAAATCAAGCAGGAGAAAGCTGGTAGGCCCACATGTGATAGAATGGGTCTGTGTGGTCAGTGTGCACCACATAAAAAAAATCCTGCAGCATGCAGTGCATAATGAGAAAAAAAAAAACACCTTTTTTTTTTAACTAAAATGCCAACTTTGTGGTCTATTTTTGTATAGTATTTATGGCCATATTCTCGTTTTCTTGGTCTCATTCGATAGAATGGAAAACATATTGTAGAAATAGAGGTGATTTTGATTGGTTTTACTATGAAAAGAACCTTGAAATGGAGCTCAAAGTAGGGGAGATGTTTGATTTTTGTCGATGTTCAAAAGTAAACAAATGATGTCATTTTCCAATAAATGTCCAAGTAGCCATTCTAATATGCAGTCATGAATGGGTTGACATTATTTATACAATTATTACAATATTGCAGTAGTCTGCATAACAGTAAATCTTCTATTTTTTTGTTTGAATAAAAATTCAAAATAGAAAGCAAGGGTAATATCAGAGGGGCCTGGAGACATGACTGATGAACAAAGAAAATGTTATTTTAGAGCCAGGAATGTCTGCATTGTTCATTCAGGACCCTCTTTTAAAATTGCCATACATATTTTTTAATTTTCGTGAAATTGGTCAAATTGCAAATTTCTGACCATGTTATTGGGTAATTGAAATTGGTAAATGGGCAGTTTCTTGTACTCAATCGATAGAAAAAATGAAGTTCTAAAGAAATAGCTATGAGTTTGGTCGACTGGAACAATGGAATTAGCCGAAAATAGGGCTCAAAGTGGGCAAAATCGCCGATTAGTAAATATCGCTGAGGTTGCTAACTTCGTGAGAGTAATTCCGTCAGTTTTACATCAAATTTTGTTCTTTTGGTGTCATTACAATCGACAAAAGATTCTCTATCACTTCATAAGAATTTTTTTTTTTTTTTTTTTTTGGAAATTTTGCGACACTCGGAGACACCTCAGGATTTGGTGTTGCGACAGTCTAGGGGTTAATAATGATATATAATAATTTTCATGTAGGTGTTTCCTGAGACATGAAAATTATTTCAAGGGTTCTGCAAGGGTGAAAAGATTGTGGAACACTGGTCTAGGCAGTCACATTAAGACCTACACTTAAAATATCTTACATTATGGTAATTCAAACTACAGTAAAAAATAAATTACAGTATTTTACATTCAAAGATAAAAATACACTACTGAGTTGCTATGACAGAACTCGTAGCTTGGCACTTACTTTTCAGAAGCCTTTTCACTCCCTTGAGCATAATTCAACATTTTTTCTACTGCTTTGGTAAAAGATTTTGGAAGCCTCTCATTGAAAGTTTCTTCATGAATGGCATCAAGTTCGATCATTATCTCTTTCATAGGAACTAGGGAGTCCATAGTAATCTGCAAGTATTAAAAAAAGAAATACTTTAGTTCAAAGTTGTATTTTCAGCTTACAGGTCTACTACAATAATGAATTGTATAAAAATGTAATTCTAGTACAGCATACTTGTTTCATGTTTCCCTTTCTGTAAATATAAAAAATAAAACTGAAAATGTTAACAGCTTTGTTAGAAAAGCAATACAGGCACAATCAGACTAGAGAACTTTAAGTGCAAGATTCCAAGCAAGTTGTATCAGTACATTATAATAGTAAAAGCAAAATGTATATAGATGGTTAGTTTAGTTTTAGCAGATATCTTAGGAAATAAATCACAGTGCTTCACTACAGAGTTATTATAATGTACTTTTTTATGCACCCATAACATTTGTATGCCCTTTTGATCATTTGAAAAAAATTTAAATTTTGCATATACATATATCCAAAATCTAAATTTAAGCAATAATTTATTTAACTACCACAAAAATTGCAATGTGTGTGTTCAAAATTCATTTCACAACTATGGGGTTTTCCATGAAACATACAACTCATGTTTAATTAATACATGTTATCTCCTGATATACACTTTTACCCTCACGAAAAACAAACGTGTATTCTTGTATACTCTCATAAATTGTTATTAAGTTTTGTGCACACAGTAAAAAACTTTTTACAATGGTGTAGAAGGTAAGCAGAATGACCAGTACGTGGTTTTAACCAAGGATAACCTCAAAGTCAGTTACTTCTTTCCATAGGGATCCACTTAAAACCTCAGTGGATTTTTACATTCATGGGATGTGCTAGGGATCATACAGCACCTGGGGAAATAGGAGACATTGAGGTTTGATCCAAGGGAATACAGGTCCAATTTCTAAGATGAAGAGCCCTTCACTGATAACCTCAATGAAAATTATGGGACCCCAATGGAAGATATATCACACTGACTTAACAGGGTTATCTTATATTAAGTATATTTTATGTAAAGTATACATAATGTACTATTTTGTTCTTATAAACGTAAATGTATCCTCAACAAGTGTAATAAAATTGTAATGTTTAAACCCAACCAGCAAACTGCATCAATAGATACTGTATACTGTATTTATGGGGAACACTAAACCCATAGGAGCCATACAGCGCCGGGAGGAATGGAAATCATTCAGGTTCGATTCAAAAAATTGGAGCACAGGTTTAATACATCACAAGATAAAAAAAAACTGAACTCGTATAAATAAGGATAAAAACTGACCTCTGCATGGATGGGGATGAAACTGATCTCTGCATCAATAAAGACAAAAGCTGATCTTTAACGACAATAATAAAATACATATCAACTAAAACATATTATCACAGTATTGTTCTTACTGTAAATTGGCTCCGAGGAACTCCTGAATTTTGAACTTTCTTGTAGAGCAGCAGAATATAGAAGCAGCGTCCCTCCACCTGCTGCCACTAATACCAACGTTTGCTAACAAAACTGATAAGATTAATCAAGAATAATCTCTAAAATGGGGATTAATATAGCCTTACAGTATTTATGGAGAGGAATATACCGTGTAGGATATAGATGAACGTCACAAAGTGAAAGTAGATTATTATTATATTCAAAAAGAAGCGCTAAGCCACAAGGGCTATACAGCGAAGTGAAAGTAGAACAAGACGGTATTTACACTAGGTAGCCATAACAACAAGGCGTCCTCATTGATTATATTATTCACGGGGTACGCTAAACCCCGCAGGGATCATACAACGCTGGGAAATGTTAAATTAATTAGATTTAATTCAATGAAGGAAAGGGCAACTCAAATTCTTTGGATCAAGAGTGTCTCACCTCCAACACAACCCCGTGTACTCACAGTAACGTAAGGAACCAATAATTGCCACAGCAAATTTTATTTATATATGTCGTGCCGAACATGTAAAACTGGTCAATTAGCAAGAACTCATTTAAAATGAACTCCTTTTTTTAAAATTTCTCTTATACGTTTAAAGATATATTTTTTTTTCATTAATGTTGATGTAAAAATTTATAATTTTACACCAAAAGGAACTTAGAAAACTTACCTAACCTTATTATAACAAGCGCAATTTATTTTAGCCTAACCCAACTAAATATATTTTAGATTTGTTTACAATAATTTAATACTAAACAAACACAATGAAATATATATATTTTTTTTTTCGTCAGGTTCAGAATGATTTTGGCGAAATTATTGCATACACAAATTTTCACTTGTCCTATATGGCAAGATAAGCGTTGCTATTTAAGCCAAAATAGCAACTTTTACGAGTTTAGCGCTTCCCCGTGAATAATATTATTAATAATAATAACAATAATAATATAATAATAATGTGTAAAATCATACCATGTGTACAGTGAAGTTGCAGGTGTGTTGTCTGTCACCTTCCAATAGATCAGTCACATCCACTTAAAAAACTTTTCCAGTCCGTTATATACGATGTTTTTTATAAATCCGTTTGAAGACTTGATACCAAAGAGAAAATATATATATAAAGTTGTTTATATCAATCCAGTCAAATGAATATATCAAGTGTGTTCACCGCACCAGCGTGTCACTGAGACTGACGCTCCTACATATATGTATATCTCGCCCAGCTCCATACGTTTTCATTCCATATTTTTTTTTTTTTTTCGAGAGGTGGAGTGGTAAGCCAGCGGAAATCCTCGGTCTGATATCTGAGGGGGTTTCGGGGGCTTAACGCCCCCGCGGCCCACGCCGTGACTAGGCCTCGTGGTGGATCAAGGCCTGAGCAACCATGCTGTTACTGCTGGTCGCTCGTAAATCGACTCAATAAAAGGCTCTGCAAACAAACCTATGGTATGGGAATGGGGTCCCCCATCAGCGCCGTCTTAGCCAACTTGTATATGGAACACTTAGAAACTGAACACTTCGCCAACATCATCCCTCACAGCCCGGCTGGTCAGGAACGGACTTTGAGTGCCTGTCCAGCGCCTTCTTGAAGACAGCCAGAGGTCTAGGTTAGGTAAGGTTCGTCAGGAAACAGGACAAATGTTTCCTGACGCGGGTCTTAGTCAGATGATGACCCGCCTTTGGAGCTTTTGGTCATCTGACCGAGGCCTTCCGCTGGCTTACCGGTCCACCCCTTTAAAAATTATGGTCATTTTAGCCAGAGGTCTATTGGTAATCCCCCTTATGTATGCTGGGAGGCAGATGAACAGTCTACGGCCCCTCTAACAACGTATTGTGTTGTCTCCCTAGCATACTCGTGGCGCCCGTTTTTCACTGGAAGATATTGCATCTCCCGACAAGTCTTTTGCTTTCGTAGAGGGTGATTTTCGTGTGCAGATTTGAGACTAGTCCCTCTAGAATTTTCAAGGTGTATATTATCATTTTTCTCTCTCGTCTGCGTTCCAGGGAGTACAGATCAAGGGACTTCAACCGTTCCCAGTAATTTAGATGCCTTATCGTACTTATACGTGCTGTGAAAAAATTCTGTATATTCTCCAGGTCTGCAATTTCGCATGCCTTGAAAAGGGCCGTTAGTGAGCAGCAATATTCCAGTCTAGAGTGAACAAGCGATTTGAAGAGAATCATCATGGGTTTGGTATCCCTACTTTTGAAGGTTCTCATTATCCATCCTACCATTTTCCTAGCAGGGACTGGGGGACTGATTACCTCATTCTCCTTCTGTTCTTCAAGATTCTCCTTTGTATGGACTGATGAAGCCACTGTGTGGCGAAACGTTTCCTCAATAAAGACACCCAAGAGTTGCACATGTGTCTAATTTATCACCTCGTGGGACACAGCTTTTCACCGTAGCCGCCTGACTTTACTCTATTTAGTATTACTCTTTGTGTTCTATGTGTTAGGAAGTTATAGATCCATTTACCAACTGTCATTCCTTTATCAGGCATTTTGTGCTATTACACCATTATACACGTGTCGAAGGCTTTCACAAAGTCTGTGTATGCTACATCTGCATTTTACACAAATAACCCACACAGGTCCAAGTCGGACCGAAACGTCGTCACAGGCTCCTTTCTCCTATGTGCAGAGTGTATTGTTCCATTAACGGTACTGTGCCTTTCTGTTCTTTACATCTGCATTTTGTTTGTCCTCCAGAGCATCCAAGACCATGTCATAGTGGTCCAGTAGTTGGGACAGGCAGGAGCGACCTGCTCTAAACCCATGCTAGCAGCCCTGGGTTGTGTGACTGATGGGTATCTAAGTAGGTGGCGATCTTATTTCTCAGAACTCTTTCAAAGCTTTTTATAATGTGCTATCTGTCTGTAATTCTTTGCAATTGCTTTACTGTCACCTTTGTGGAGTGGGGCTATGTCTGTTGTTTTTAGTGACCGTGGGATCACCTGTGTCCATGCTCCCTCTTCATAGAATGCTTCAGGCACGTGAAAAGTGCATTTTGCAGATGGCCAAAAGCTCCAGCTGTGGGTCATCATATGACTAAGACCAGCGTCAGACAACACTTGTCCTGTTTCCTGACGAACATTATACCTGCCTACCATCTAACGTTTCCACCGATTAACCTGGAGTATTAGCCACCCACGATAACCCAAGACTGTCTGTATTGGGCCACTGGCAATATGATGTTCAATGAGAACAAGTTTTAATTACTCCGTTATGGAAAGATTGAAGAAATGAAAGGCTGGACTGAAATATAAAACAAACTCCATCGATATAGTGTAAGAGTGATGTGAAAGATCTAGGAAATAATCAAGTCTGGTCTCACCTTTAAAGATCACACACTCTCATTATAACAACCACAAGGAAATGATAGCCTGGATAACTAGAAGTTTCAAAATAGGCTGGAATACTGTTGTACTCAGGTGAAACTGCAGACCTGGACAATGTGCGAAGAACTTAAACTTCTCGCACAAATTCAGTCATGCACCTCAATTACTGAAGTCCCTCGATCTATACTTGGAACGTAGACGAGAAAAGAGGTGGATGGTGCAGAATACTCAACTATGAAAAGCAGAGGTTCAATGAGTACACTAAGGTAAACTCAATAAGTGTGAAGGGACGAAGACTTTTCAAAACACTCCCTTTATACCTAAGAAGGATTACCAACATAACCCTGGCTGTCTTCAAGGACCACTACCCGGTCTACACACATCAATCAATCAATTTTTATTTCCTTGCAAGATTACATTGAGATTATGAAATTACAATATTGAGTTGCAGTGTAAAGAGCCACTATCATGCCTAGGCATTATGGACAAACTTAATTTAATGCTTACAGACTATATAATACTAAAGAACATGCCAGCCAGTAAACTACTGACTACTCATTGTACTTATCTTTCTTTCGTTCTGCTACAAGATTGAAAGTTATTTTACCCACCGTCTAACAGAGGTCAATGACACTCCCATACCACAGCCTCTTAATGAGGACATAACCTCACATTCTTCCATTCTCCTTTCATAAAAAAAAACATAAATCAGAAAGTCAAAAAACATTACTGGAACAGATGCGTATTTGCAACATTACACAAACATACAATATATACCGAGTATATATCACAGAGTGGTATTCCTCGCAATCTGATATTATTATTATAATCAAGGGGGAAGAGCTAAACCCGTAGGATTATACAGCGCCTGTGGGATGGGGGGGGATGATGTGGAAGGTATTCAGGCTTAACTCAGGGAACTGGAGCACAGATCCAATTCCCTAGATCAAGAGCCCCTCACCAGTGTTAAGGAACCTTCCTTGAGGGGTCGCAACCTGATAATTTTCTATTTTCCAGGGCTTTCTCTGAGCCTTACGCGTTTAGCACTTCCTGCATATATTTTGTAAGGTTGCGTGCTCTTGAAATAGAAGAGCAGTCAATATTTATATAGCTTGAGAGTTCCTATGATTTATGACACAATATTTTAAACAAGTTAAATGAGAAGTAAGTCACTTAGTCTGACTTTGTTGGGTTATCCTGGGTTCTCTGTACATATGCCGCTATGTATGATAATCTATGTAACTGTGTGCTGCTATGTATGATAATCTATGTAACTGTATGCTGCTATGTATGATAATCTATGTAACTGTATTTGTGTATACCTAAATAAACTTACCAAGGTAAGTGTGTCAGGAAACAGGACAAGTGTTTCCCGACGCGGGTCTTAAGCGAGCGGAGGGGAAATCTCTGAGCGGTTATTATTTATTCATATTGGTTACCTTCCTCAGATGACATGACGAAATATAATTTTTTTATTTAATTATGCCCCACACGGGTTTAGCGCCTCTTTTTACAATAATAGTAATAATAATAATAATAATAATAATAATAATAATAATAATAATAATAATAATAAACGTTTTACTCCAGTTATGATTAGATTATACAGCTTCTCCATCATTTAACAATAAAACATAAAATATTTTTATTCTTCATGATCCTCACACAGAAGTTACGGGAATTAGTTTTGCATTCCAACTGGTTAGTTTATATAAATATAATACAAATATAATTTAATACGACTGGAAGCCCAAGATATGCGTAACCTATATATATTTAGAGTTTTCAGAGTTACATAGGTATGTCATTATTTGACTATACGTATTATTATCATCTCTTAGCTTCTTATCGCATTTATGACGTAAGACTGAAAGCAGGACTTACGTAAGTGCTCACAGTTGCTTTATCAACGCTTGCTTCATTTCAGTTGTTTTAACGCTTCCTATTATTCTTTCTCTAATGCTATTTTCTTTATTTTAAATTAGGTTAAAGTTAATTTAGGAAGGACTACGCCAAGGTTACATAAACTTATATAAGCAAAGTGCAAAAACTAGCCGTGATACCTCTGGCAACGAGATGGCCGAAAAAAAGTAACGTTCACTTCTGAAACGTTTCACACACACACACACACACACCGAACACACCACACAACCAAAAACAAAACACACTCACCACACACACACACACACACACACACACACACACACACACACACACAAGGGATCCATACATAGCTTTAAGAAGAGGTACGATGAGACGCTTGGAGCAGGGAGAGAGTAGATGTAGTAGTGACCAGCGAAGTGACGGGGTCAGGAGCTGTGAATCGACTCCTGCAGCTACATATAGGTGATTACCTATATGTTAGCACATACACACAGCTCACTCCGCATCGTGACGTAATAAACGTTGCTAACGAAAAATTATTTCCTGGTACGTTGCTTGCGTGAGAATGGTATCATATGTTACTCCATGGACTAATATTTAATTGTTTACGTTACTTAATAAATTTAATATGTACTATCCATACTGGACCTGTTTTAGCTGAACTGACAATTATTATTTATTATTATTATTATTATTATTATTATTATTATTATTATTATTATTATTATCAAGGGGGAAGTGCTAAACCCGGAGGATTATACAGCGCCTGGGGGGGGGGATGTGGAAGGCATTCAGGCTTAATTCGGGGAACTGGAGCACAGATCCAATTCCCTAAATCAAGAGCCCCTCACCAACATCAAGGAACCTTCCTTGAGGGGGCACGTAAGTTCCCCCGTCTTCCAGTAACATGTTCATTTTTCCACTATAATCTACCTTGTCCATAATTACTATCACATTTACTTTGTTTCGTAAGGTGAAGTCCAGAATCTTTACTTAATTCATGGTATAACTTAACACATCTTTGATGACAGTTGTTGTTGTAGAGGTGTGACCAAAACTCAGACGTCTACAACAACAACTGTCATCAAAGATGTGTTAAGTTATACCATGAATTAAGTAAAGATTCTGGACTTCACCTTACGAAACAGACAAAGTAAATGTGATAGTAATTATGGACAAGGTAGATTATAGTGGAAAAATGACCATGTTACTGGAAGACGGGGGAACTTACGTGCCTCTTAAATATTCTCTACACATGGATTTAATAACATACAATAAAAATGTAACCAATTTTTACCCTTGATAAGTAGGAAGAATATGTTATTATTATTATTAGTAGTAGTAGTAGTAGTAAATTCATGGGGAGCGCTAAACCCGTAGGGGTCACAATGCCTGGAGAAACGGGAAGCAATCTGGTTTGATCCAAGGAATGGGAAGGTCAGGTTCAATTGCTTGGATCAAGAGCCCCCTCTCCTCACCGGCGTCAGGTAACCTCCTTTGAGGAGAGGGGGGAGGGGTAAGTAACAAAGGAAGTACTGACTCACCTGTACCTGGCTCTGGGGGTCATCACCCCCGCTGCTGGCTAATGGCTGGGTCAGTCCGCCTGTTGGTACCAGCCGCTCGCACTCCAAGGAAGGCACCACAGTCTGGTGGATCGGTTTTTTGTTAATCATATATAGTATATTGGATTCAATTCAATTCAAAGTTTATTCTCTGTAAGGATTATAATGCTGAGTTTACAGAATTTGGTTATTGTGTGGTTTACATGTAGTAAAATAATAATTACAGAGTGTACCACTAGAACACCTAGCATGGCTAGGCATTTCGAGCAGACTTAGTTTAATTCTTAAATTTAAAATATTACAAATTACGAGGTAAGTTGGTATTATGGCTAAGTGACTAAATACTAGTTTGTGAGTTTAGCAATGTGAATGCTTTTGTTTTGGCATAGTACATAGTTTCAGTATTGGAGTATCACAGGCCAACTTATGACTAGTTAGGATTCATTATTTTAAGATTGAGATTGATATTTCTGTTTATGGTCAAATGGGTGAGTGTAAGTGTGAACCACCAGGTGGTATTCGTGTAGTTAGTTGACAGGGTGTATCAGGGAGATAAGATGTTTTCTAATGGTAGTTTTGAAGGTGATGAATGTGTCTGCAGTTCTAGAGTTTTCAGGTAGGGTGTTCCAGATTTTAGGGATGGTGGTGCACAGTGCAGCTGATGACATAAATTAACACCGATTGTTCTACCAACTCTGAAAGAATATTGGAGCTCCTTCCCTTTCCTTAGCTCGAACTTCACTGCCTCTCCTTCCCAAGACATTCTAACCCCTATGGGTTTAGCGCTTCCCATGACTGTTATAATACTAATATTACTACTGATACTACTAATAATAATGTAACCATACTTTATTGGCAGTTTATAAAGAAGCTGGAAGTACCTTAGATGAAAACCTCTCGTTGTTAATGTGGATGTCGCATTTGTGAGGAAATATTTGAATTTCTTGCAATATCTTGGAGTTTTGTTATTGTTTTATTCCTTCCATCAAGTAGAGTACTTAAGTATTTCTTCTATCTCTGTAATCTCCCTGCACAGACTGAGTCCTGTACCTGAACTCTCGGGAAAGACTTAGAATAAAGAAAATATAATTTGATGTGCAACTGGAACACAGATGCAAATTCTATAATGTGCTGAGGATATTTACCAAAGAAAGAACTCTAATGAATTAATAGTGTATAAATTCGAATTTAGAAAGAGTATAAGATAGCACTGGTTTCGACATAAACCTGTAATTATAATTATAATCATAAGGGAACCGCTTAATCTGTGTTAAAATTTGTCAGTCTGAGTTAGCTGAACTGGGTAATGCAATAATGATACTCTAGTGTACCATTAAATGTTCATAGGCTACGAAAATCCAAATGTTTCCTTCCATTATAGCCGGAAATTATCATATATCAAGATATCCTATCCCATAAACTATAGAAGTATAATTTTCATCAGGACATCTGTCATCTCTGAGGGAACAAGATAAATTATATAGAGAAGAGATAGAAAAGAAATGTATGAGAGGTAAAAAGGCGTCATGGTCGCTTCCCCCTAGTCTCATGGACACATTTTTTTTCGCTTGCTTTTTTTACTTTTCTTAATAAAACTGTATTTTTTTTTGTATTTTCACTTTAAAAAATAACACATATACTTATTGCAAAACTATACCTTATAAAGAATGCAACACGTATAATGAATTTAAATTTATTTCATTAATATGATGGCCACGTAGCGTCTCCGTCTGTATGATCAAGTTAATCGCAGGAAAGTTACGAAGGTAGATGGTGAAGTTCAGTTCCATAGTCTGGAAGAACGTCACCTGTAGATGACAAAGACAAAAGCAATAAATGGTAGCTATTCAGCCAACGTTTGATATGAAAACGTCTGCCGCCCGGGCGAAACGTCCTCTGAATGAAGTTTCCAATTACTGCTTTTGTCGTCATCATCTACTACCAGGGAAAATATTACAACCGTTGTGACAACCCTGTCATCACAAGATTCTACCTGCTCAGGTTTTTTCTCAGCGTACATTAGACATTGCGTCATATGATGAGTCTTGCTTTCTCACAGGGAACCACAAACGTCACACTGATGAAACCGATGACGCGTATATATATATATATACATATATATAATATATATATATATATAATATAAATATATAATATAAATATATATATATATATTATATATATAAATATATATATATAATACCATATATATATATAATAAAATATATATATATATATATATATTAATATATATATATATAAATATATATAATATATATTATATTAATATAGTAAAATATATAAATATATATATATATATATTATAAATATATATATATAATATATATATATATAATAATATATATAATATATATATACATATATATATATATATAATATATAAATATATAATAATATATATACAGAATATATATATATATATATATATATATATATATATATATTATATAAATATATATAATCAATATATATATATTTATATAGAATATATAATATATATATATAAATATATATAAAAATATATAAATATATATATATGTCGTGCCGATAGGCAGAACTTGCGATCTTGGCTTAAATAGGCAACGCTCTATGTTGCCATATAGGACAAAAGGTGGGAAAAAATTTGTGTATGCTAATAATTTCGCCCAAAACTGCTGAACCTAACGAAAAAATATATTTCACTGTGTTTTGTTTTAGTATTAAATTATTGTAAACAAATCTAAAGATATATTTAGATTGGTTTAGGATAAAATAAATTGCTCTTGTATATAATAAGGTTAGGTAGTTTTCTAAGATTCTTCTCGTGCAAATTAAAATTTTTTACATTAACATTAATGAAAAAAATAAATCTTTAAATGTATAAGAGAAAATTTTAGAAAGTACTTAAATTTTTAATGAGTTCTTGTAATTGACATTTTACATTATTCGGGCACGACATATATATATATATATATATATATATATATATATAATATATATATATATATATATATATATATATATATATATATATAAATATATATATATATATATTCAATTCAATTCATTCAAGTTTAGTCCTATAAGGTTTACAATGTGGGGGTTTTGCAGTTTTGGGTTATTTTGTGGTTTACATGTTAAAAATACTAATTACAGAGTGAGCTCACAGGACACCTAGCATGGCCAGGCATTTACAGCAGACTTAGATTAATTCTTAACAACATCATAATTTGTGAGTTTTAGCAATGTTAGCAATATATATATATAAAAATTAAATAAGTATCTATATATATAAATATATATATTAAATTTAATATATATTATAAATATATATATATTTATATATATATATATAAATACATGTTTATTGCATAAAATAATCAACTGTTGTTGTTGCATCTTGATTCGCTGTACTCCTCCTGGCCCGGTCTTTCCCAATGATGACGTCGGCCCTTTGCCTCCCTGTCTGGGAGTGTCTGTGAGACCTAATGTCTGCCATGAAGAAGGTACAAGTACCTCCTCACTTCGGACCAACTGTCCCATTGCCTAGCCCCATTCCCCGCCCTCACAGGCTCGGAGGGAGAAGCTATGCCCTCTGGTCTGCCATCCTCCTCGCCCCCATAGGGGCTCGTGGGAGTGGAGCAGTGCTGTGAGCTCAGGTGGTAGCTTACCTCTGCTCTGCACCAACCCAGCATAAAGAGTGCTCGTGGGAGGTGGTGCTCATAATAAACATGTTGACCATATTGGTGTTATCTGTTATGAAACATAAATACCAGGCGTAGGGAGACACTGGTCAGAGAAATAGCAAGCATATAACTTAATAAAAGGAATCTTATAGGAGTCAGTAATCGCGGGGAAAACTAAAACCATAAATGAAATCGAAGAAACCCAAAGTATTCTTCTCCTATGCCAAATCAAGTCGAGAACAACTCAGTATTGGGCCCCTACTTAAGATGGACCTACACAGATGACACACGGACATGAGTGATGCTACTCAGTCCCATATGACTCAGTTTTTTAGCAAGGCCGCTAACCAGACTGAGAGTCGCATATCAAAATGAATATTTTTTAATGAGAAGCCACAGAATTGGTAAACACAAGCCTATCTGATGTTAATCCTGACGCCAATGACTTCGAACAGCGATAAATGACATGCCCTGCACTCTGGCCCCGGGTCGCCAGACTCATGGACTCCATGTTCATCAAAGAACTGCAAGAACCCCTAGTCACGAGCCTTTTACCATCCTATTGAGAGGGAGCATGGAACACGGAGGGGTCGTCCCACAGGTTACTAAAACAACAGACATAGCCCCTCTCCACAAAGGTGGCATGTAAAGCAACAGCAAAGAGCTTACAGACCGATAGGCACTAACATCCAATGTCAGGTAAGACACATATGTCAACAGTTAGGGTATCTTTATTTCGAAACGTTTCGCCTACACAGTAGCTTCTCTTACTCGACTGAAGAAGCCTACTGTGTAGGCTAAACGTTTCGAAATAAAGAAACTAACTGATGCATATGTGTCTTACCTAACAATCTGTCGGTTAATTCATACATTTTAGTTAATGTACACTAACACCATATCAAAAAAATCTTTGGAAAGGGTCCTAAGAAGCAAGAGTCCCCACCCATCTAGAAACCATCAATTAACACAACCCAGTGCAACATGGGTTTAGTACAGGTCCTCCTGTACTGTCAGCAACGGTACTGGATCATCTACGACAAGGTCTCATATATATAGACATCTAATGAAGACAAAATAGAATGCAGATGTAATATATCATACTTTGCAAAGAAGCCTTCGAACAAGTGTGACGCATGGCGTATAGCGCAATCAAAAATGCGTGCTAAAAGGAAAAACGGGAAAAGTCGGTTCGATGGATCTATAATTTCCTCACTAACAGAACACAGAAGTCTTAGTCAACAGAGAACAAGTCCGAGCAGCTAGATAAAAAAGCTCTGTTTCCACAAGGCCACAGTACATGCTCCCTTCTTGTTCCTCATCCTCATATCTGAATAGACAAGATGTCAGAGCCACAGCACCGTGTCTTCCTTTGCAGATACACTCCCGAATCTGCATGACAGTGTCTTCATTGCAGACACTGCAAGG